ATTCTGGTATGCAAACCTGAAAGTTTTCATCTTGATTCAAATGAAAATTTGATAATAAAAAGTTTTTGGACCAAAGATAAAATCCAATTCAGAAACATTTGGAATCGATATTTTGCAGTCAAAAAATATAAATAATTATTATTAAAGTTTATGCGCCTAACCTAATGATTTGCTTATAACAACTTTTTGCCAGTTTTCATTTAATGGTAGTGACTGTTTCTGTTTCTTTTCTTATTTCTCTTATGGTTCATTTTGTACATCGTTGCTGTATATACAGCTATATCCTGTATATCAGCATAATAATGAAGGGAATGGAAAACATTCACAACCTAGAATGATTGCTTTGCTGCAGTGCATTAAGCACTGACTTTAAAAAGAGAAAACAGAAAAAATTTAAGTTAATTTGTAAGCCATGATTATGCTGAAAACTATTTTCGTAATTTTCAACATTTTTTTCTCTAAATTTTATTCTGCATCTGAGGAAATTCAAAATTAGCTTTTATGCATTCGGAAATAGTGCACGGAAATTAAATTTAAAAATTAGATTAAAGTCTGTAATATTGAAGATATTTTCCAGTCTACCTTTATTTTACTTCTGGCATCATTTGCATCTACAAAACTAACGAACAAAGAAAACTTTCCTAGTTGTCTGTTAACTTCTTTCTATTAAAGTAAGTAAATGGTTTTCCATGTTAAAAGACATAATATAATTCAGTGAACCTTCCCAGAAGGAGCGCATACAATCTTATTTCCTTTTCACCTTCATTATCTCCGTGAAACAAAAGGAAGCTTCTTTTTTGAAAGTTATAGTTCTTCATTGTGTTAAATGAGTAGTTGCAGTTTTGTATTTTATGATTTAAAAATCTTATTGTTTTTATTCACGTATTTTATGGCAACAAAAGGAACTATGTTATTTGGCAAAGTAGTCGTGTATATTACTTGAGAACTCTGTATTATATCATACAATTTCAATCAAAATTCATGTGCATTAATGCACTTTTATTCATACAACAATTTTAAGTTGATCTGTTGACGATTGTTGAAAGGAAGTGATTACTTTTGTTTATGTTTAACTCAAAAAACTTTGCAGTAAAAGAATTGTAGCAATAAAAGCTTTGTTTTTCTTTCTTTTCATCTTCAATTCTGTCAACTGTTCTTTACTTTTCTCAACATTTGCATTAAGCTTAAAAAAACTTTTGCTTTCCATTAGAATTACATGACGAAAAGTAAAAATAACTTTAAAATAACTTAGAGAACTTAGTGTCTTGTATTGATTGTGTTTTAAGATATTTTTTCACAAGAAAAGTATCTAGGGAATCCTCTTTGCATTGAAGCTAGATCAATGTGAGGATTCGAGTGAAAATCTAACCGAGAAATCCATAAAGCAAACTCCAAAACCTTCCTAGTCTTGGCTACGCCCCTGTTAGTTTATCGTTGTTAAAATGAAAGTTTAAGGAAATCCTTAATCCCATATGTATCTAAAGTGAATGTTTTTCAATTGTTATAAACTTTTATTTTTCCTCTTGCGTTTTACAGTTCAAATACAAGAAAAAAAATCACGGCACTTAATAGAAAATGATATATGTATGCTCTATGCATATGAACAATGTACTTCAGAATACAAATCATTTTACGGATAAAAATCTGCTTTTTCAAAACTGAAGTGAAATTTCCATTCATTCTTTATTCAACTCTTGCATAATGCACAGCTGAAAACAAAAAGTTTAAAAGTTATTCCAAGTTAAACTTCTGATTTTTGCGGTGATTTATCATAGAAAAAAAAATCGGTAGTGGGTCACCGACACAACGGGAACCCGCGGGTCAAAACCCACGGGAACTCACGGGTCCTCACGAGTTGAAAACCCACGGGTCTTGCGGGTCCCCGTGGGTTCTTGTGGGTTTTGACCCGCGGGTTTTTAAAAAAAAATTTTTCAAAAAACTTTGTGAGTTTTCCCGTGGGTTTGGTCTGCGGGTTCCCGTGGGTTTTCAAATATAAACTCACGGTTTTTCTGCGAGGACCCACGAGTTTTCTGTGAAAACTCACGGTTTCTCTTAAAGAAACCCACGGGTTTCTATCGTATATTTTTGAACAGTAAAAACTTTGAATAATAACAGGTTTTCAAATACCAGAGTGCAGTTTGCAGAACAAAAATTAGGCACTTTTATAAATCAGTATTTTTTATCTTCAGCTTAAGGCATAAAGATATCGTAAAACAGCAAAGGCATGAAATGTACCTTTTAGACTGTAAGTCTAATTTTTCTGTAACTTATGGCATCATTATGCGAAAGTTTCAAATTTTTCGAAGGTTTGCTTGTTGAATTTCCGTACCAATGATTGAAAGACTCCAAGAAAATTTCATATTTTAAAAATTTCGAATAACAAGCTAAAATCAGATTTAAACGTTTAATAAAATTGATAGTATTTTAGTTCAGCTTTTTTTGATGCAAAATTCTTTGCTGTAGCTCTTATAGATTAAGAGAAAACTTGAAAAAAATTACAAAAGTCCTATTGTTATTTATCGAGGGACTTCAGCACATATTTGACGCAGAAATCAGTATTTGATAAGCATCAAAATGTGAATCAATAAGCAAGCAGCTCTAAAATTTTGCCTTTATCAAAGCATATTCGTTGTGTTTTAAAAAAATATTAAGCATTAGGTACAGCAAATAAATTTTTTAAATTACTCTAGACTTATTCATATTATTGCATTTGCTTGTAGCTTCAACGATTCTTAACAAGCTAATAATTAACCTGATGCAAACAATTCATATTCTACAGACTTATCGTGTAGGGTGTTATAATATGCACGTTTGAAAAATTTAAATTTGAAAAAACCGTTACAATTTTTAATCATTTTAATAAAATTTGATAGTTTTACTTTTTTTGATAGTTTAACTTTGTTATGCTTATTATCAAATGAACTTGCTTAATTTAACAGACAAATAAGCCATTTTCACAAGTTTTCTTGGAAACTGTAGCGGTCGAAACTCTTAAATTGTGCGTATTAGGCATTAACAAGTTCTGAAATGAACGCAAATAGAAATTATCTGAGGTTCAAAAGTTGTTGATTTTCAAAATCAAATTTTTCGTATTGGCAAAAAATAAAATTCAATTGTTTCCTAAATTAAGGAGATCCTTTAATTGTAAATATTAATTAAGATAATAATGTGCCATTTTAACGCCATAAAAACTTTAAGTAAAAGTTTCAAGAAGATTCAATGAGAGCAACAAAAGTTACAGACTATAATGATGCCATAAGTTACAGAAAAATTAGACTTACAGTCTAAAAGGTACATTTCATGCCTTTGCTGTTTTACGATATCTTTATGCCTTAAGCTGAAGATAAAAAATACTGATTTATAAAAGTGCCTAATTTTTGTTCTGCAAACTGCACTCTGGTATTTGAAAACCTGTTATTATTCAAAGTTTTTACTGTTCAAAAATATACGATAGAAACCCGTGGGTTTCTTTAAGAGAAACCGTGAGTTTTCACAGAAAACTCGTGGGTCCTCGCAGAAAAACCGTGAGTTTATATTTGAAAACCCACGGGAACCCGCAGACCAAACCCACGGGAAAACTCACAAAGTTTTTTGAAAAATTTTTTTTTAAAAACCCGCGGGTCAAAACCCACAAGAACCCACGGGGACCCGCAAGACCCGTGGGTTTTCAACTCGTGAGGACCCGTGAGTTCCCGTGGGTTTTGACCCGCGGGTTCCCGTTGTGTCGGTGACCTAGAACCAAAAAATCAAGTGCAGATATTAGACAAGGCAGTGCGGTTATGAATGTAAAGTGTATGCAATTAAGTTTAATAATAAACTCCATTAAGTTCTTTCAGCGCATTTCGTTCTTAATCATGCTTAAAATATAATTTAATGTGAAAATTATGTTAACGTGTTTATGACATCTGTGCTCCATGTAGTGCAAACGTTGTTTTGTATAAACTGATGTTGTGCATGCTTTCATGCTTGTGAATTCGAGAAATTATGAAGTCATGTTCTTTGTTTTGGTTTGGCTTTTCTCGTACTAATAATTCAAGTTTAACGTTTCAGATTGATTATAAAAATTTTAAGCGAAAATTCATCAATCTACAAACATCAAAAATTTATATCAACATGACTGATAACTCCTAGAATACCTCATCTGTATTCATATATGTTTTATCGACTTTTTCCTTTACATTTAATCTGGTGAAATTTTATACTATTCATCTTAAAAAATTACATTTTGGTTTTCGTACACATTACATATTTGATAGAATTTTTATACTTACACAACAATTTTTTTAAAAGCCACCGATCCATCAAACCTAATACATTTTATCCTAGATGATGTATAATAATATATTTTATAAAATAAGAATTTAACATTTTGCCCTTGGATTTATGTTATACAATACAAAGATTTAATCTTATAAAACCTTGGGTTTTACATTTCAATCTTTTATAATTAATTTCACATTTTTAGGGTATCTTGAAAAAAATTAAAATTTATGAAGTTTAATAATCAAGCAAAACTTGATTCAATAATTAAGAATTTTCAAATTAGATTAAGAAATCAGCTTTTAAATATTCATTATAATACCTAGATTTATTATATTAAAGATAAATTTAGCATCTGGCTCATCAGAGAATTTAACATCGAAACTTTTTATGTGCAAGGTTAAAAAAATGTGAATTCTCCAACATGAAGGAATTAGGGAATGAAAAAAATTCATAGGCGAGAAAAAAAAGAAATTTTTTTACTAGTAGTGTGGTTGATGCTGTGGCAATTCAGTAAGCATAAATCATGGTGAAATTACACAGAAGAATAATTTTAAAAAAATTCTTGACAAGCACTAAAGCTGGTTTATTGTATTTATCTTTATATCATACTTATTGTAACCTAATTTCAATTTTCACAAATGTTTCCTAATTTATTTTATTTTAATTTTCAAACCCTTCAAAACTTCAGCAGTAATACCTAACTTTTAACCTTAACTTTATTCCCTTTTATTTGCCAGAAATATGTCACTGGATTATCAACAGTGAGAGATTGTGTAGCACATTGTGTAGAAAAAGGTAAGAGACACCATACTTATTAAATTGAAGCTCCGGATATTTTTTAATTTAAAAATAACACGAACGAATGTTTATTATTATTTTGGCGGGAAAGAAAAACTCAATTTCATTCTAACGCGACAATTCATGCATATTAATTTTAACCAATATTCTCACTTTTTTCCTTTGCCACTTTGCATATATAAACTCTTTCATTACCTCAATTATGATGATGTTATTTTATTCAAAAGCTTTTACTTACACATGTAGAGGTTTAAAGTTGAAAACCATTTCGAGAAATGTTATATTAGAGATGGGATTAGAGGTTATAAAAAGATCATGTTGTGCGACCATTATTCAATAACCATTAAACACCTATTGTGCTATAAAGTTATGCTGCAAAGCTTTTATCGTTCGAAAAGAGCAGAATTTAATTATTTATTTTCCATATCACATTTTGGAAGAGCTCTCTAGAGGATTGTCGATGTGGAACCTCTAAACATTTTCATTTTAAGCATGAACTGAGAAGAGAAGTTTGTGCCAGAAAGAAGATATTTTTATGTCATTTGAAAAACATTTTCTCTTCTCACCTCAACTCTTAATACTCTCACGAGCATCTCATATTCATGTTTTAAATATCACATTATGACATACAACTACTGGTATATGTGAGTATCTGGCACACGAAGCATTGTGGAAATCTCTACAATTTTCAATTTTCATAATACGTGATAAAGATACATCTCCATGGCAAAAGCTTGATGTTTTCTGTTTACATTGTTGTTTGAATATTAAATGAAGCGCTAGAGATAAACGTGTTCATATTGAATGAGATTCGAAATATTCCAATGTACGCACATATATCCTGATTTCCTTTTCTCATTCACTTTATAAGTTAACTTTGATAATATTCGTGAGAAGTAAGAATAAAAATGGGAAGCATAACGTCTGTAGAAATATATTATCATGCATAAAACGTGTTTGAGGAACAGAACTTTTCTTTTACAATTAAGATTATCGCTGAACATTTTTTTTTGATTACAATATTTTTTTCCTTACAGATGTTTGGGATACAAGCACTTATTGCTGTACAATGGATGGTTGCAATGACTCAACAATCGCCACTATTTCCAGATTTCTTCTCATTTCTTCAATTTTAATCTCAATTATTTATCAATTATAAGATGAATAAGTAATTTTGAGAGAAATTGAAAATTAGTCGAATCAAAGCCAAGGGTTGCATCTCTAACTTATTTTTGAATTTAATGAGTTCCTATAAAGTTATAATTTTACTTGTAAACAAATCATTATTAAAATATAAAAGCCCTTGGAATAAAAATACAACGAAAATAAAGAAGCATTAAAATTTGAAAGTAGAAAGTTAAAATAGTGTAAATTGGATTCCAATTCTCTACTTAAATACTCTTCTAAATTGAAATAAAAAAACATTAAATAATATTAAACTTTTCACCATAGAATCTAAAAAAAATGATACACATCACTTGAGATATTCTAAACAAAAAACTATAAAAGTAATGATGATGAAAAATGCTTAAAAATTCTTAAAAATTATAAAGAAATGGAACCAAACTTTTTAATTGAAATATTGATTGCTAAAATGCGCTTTGAATTACATAAAGTAGAACTAGTAAAAAATTGCTCAAGAAATTTAAACTTCATTATTGATTTTTTATGAATTTTAAAAAATCAGAAATAAATTTTTCTTAAATAATTGATATTTTATTTTTTTTAAATAAATTCAGATATTCCAAAAAAATAATAATATGTAAATGGCAATTATCGACTTAGGATATCTTTGAAAAAAAAAAATTTAAACTTTTTTGTTCGAACATGTTTAATCATAGTAAATGGTATTTTTGACCTTACTTATTATCTTACAAAAACGATAGCTACAAAAGATTTAAAGTTATGTGACAAAGATGAAATAACAGTTGAGAATATTAAACTTCTCACTGACTAAAGCTTTATTTTTTTTCTTTCTAGTCATGATGCTTCAAAAAACATTTATTTCAGTACTTAATTTAAAACTATCTGAACTATTTCAGTGAAATGAGTTCAATAAAGTTGATAAAGAATTTCTAAACATGAGATGTCTTTGTTCTTCACAAACTATAGCTATGATAAGTTTCATGATAAGTTCAAGACAGTTGAAATGCTATATAGCAAAAATTTATTGTTTTAAAAATATTAGCTACTAATCAGAGAGAAGAAAAGTTCAGCTCATAGAAGAAATGAGAAATTCCTTTTCATAATCTAAAGCTCTTTCCATTATCACAAACTACCATACATGAGAATATAATATAAAATACCAAATTTATCCAACAAATTGCTTGTGTGCTCATGGAAAAAACCATTCTTCAACGGAATGCGGGTATCTTTGTCATATGCTTATGTTTTTGTAATAAAATTTAATTTATTTCAATCTTCATTTATATAAAATGTGGCTTTCACGAGTGATGCCAACTGCATGGGAAATAATTTTCATTTTACTCAAATAATAAACAACATTTTGTTTATTCATTTTATTTTTATGAGAGCTTTCAGCTCTTCCATGTGGATTTTAAGAGGAAAAAATGTTGGTTAACTCAAATAAAAAAACAAGTTTTTAAGATAAATTTCTTTGGGAAATTGAAAAGGTTGTGGTTCCTTTCTAAATATTTATTAAAATATGAAAAACCTTAAATTCACGATCAAGCCATTTTGTTCCAAAAAAAAATTCATTCTTCTAGTTGAATAAATTTTATATATTTTTTGAAAAAAAATTATTCATCTTATTTTAAAGAGAAAATAAATTCAAATTACAGAAAATTAACTCAAAGTAATTATGCCACGAGATATTTAATGTAAAAATATAGAAAAGATACAAATTTAAATAGTTAATTAGTTTAATAAGAAGAACATTCGCTCTGTCTTCCTTATGAAAATGAAATTTTATGATACAGCTCACATAGTAACATATATAATTACATATTGGCATGAAATATGATGAAACATCTTTTTTTTCCTTTAAATGAAATATTCTTTAAAGTATTATTTTTTTTGTTCGACTGTGACTTTTTGCCAAAAGCTACACAGATAAAATAAAATCAACCTTCCGTAAATTATGCAAAGCCAACAAAAACCTAATTAACATGATCTAGCACAAAAAAAATTCTTCATTTCTTTTATTCATTCAAGATATTTTTTTTTTGGGTTTTTTAATTGTTAAGATCGTTGTGCAATAGACATTTTATGATGAAATTCGATTTCATAGAGAATGGTTGAACACGAAAGAAATTTATATATTCAATCATAAAATTTGAATTGCATTTTACGAATTCAACTTGAAAAAGATTTGAATTCAATTGAATGAATGAAGAATAATGATAGAAAAGAGAGGATGAGGCGATGAAAGAGGGTTGAAAAAGATGAAATCGAATATTCTCATATAAATGTTCCATTCAACGAGAATCATCAAAATATTGTGAATCCGAGATTTAAGAATATATATTATAATAATAAAAATAAAGATTTAAAATAAGAAATTTTCTTATATTTAAAAGAAATATTTACTTAAAGTTTATCTACACTTAGGAAATATGAAGAAAAAAATACAAAGCCATAAATCGATTTATTTCGAAAATATTTACTTAAATTGCATGTTCTTTGATACTTTGATAGATTGCTGTTCATAAATAAACAACCTTAAATTAATGAGTTTAGATGTTTAACTCTAAAAATAAAACTTCGTAGTGATTGTAAAATACTCAATTATTATTTATAGTCTGAATTTCCGTGTTCTTGAATAACTTTGTAAGTTTTCATATTTTTGAGATATCGTATAAAAGATCTTTCAAAATCTTTATTAATTTATTTAAACTTTTAAATTTATAACGAGTTGACAAATATTTAAAACAAAGAAACTAGAGTAAAATTTTATATAATTTTCTTTATTTACAGTAATTAAACATACCATAATTAAATTTTTGTTTTATTTATGAAGTAATATCATGCGTTTTAATTTAATTGTGCGGCTATTCGTTTAATGCATGTCAGATTGGGATTAATGAATACCCTTTTTTGAAAATTTATACTAAAAATTAAGCTCAATACTGTTATAGCCTCACAAAAGATTAATTAAAAAATAATTGCAAATATTAAAAACATAGAGCAACTCACACATTAATATGTAAATTTTCATTTATCAACTAATTACAAATTTTCCAAATATCATCGAAATGATGAGTATTAAGAACGGAATCGTTAGATTATTCATTACTATTAATTCAATTAAAACAAATATGGACATTTTAAATAAAAATCTTTTAAATGCATTAATAAAGACTAAAGTTTTAGGAAATTTCATTGCTTTTATTATGAAAAATAACTCAATTCATATTTCAGAAAGAAATTCTTCAAAATTTCAGTTTTTTTTTAATCATCTTCAAATAAAATGCTGATAAAACATAATTGAAATTTTTTTCAGGTTCGTTGGGAACGATATTATCGGGAAGTGATATTAAAATTGAAGAATGTTTAAATGAACAGAACATTACACTGTTGCTTACAAAATATCAGTTTATCTTTAATGTGCCGCTGTATATCTTTATGCTTCTGAATTTAATATTTATTTATCTTTTACACTCATAAACATTTCAGAGATGTGAAAAGCATCGTTCATAAAAGTAAAGAAAGACCATTGACATAATTCATATAACCCAGAATATTAAACTTTAATGAAACAGAAGCGACTGAATGTTTATATTCTGCGTTAAGTTTACGAGATAAAAAAAAGCGTAAAGAATTTATCATGGCGTTTCTTTCCTACTTATATTTTATATGAGAACTTTAGTATTTCAATGAATTGTTCACGATGACATCATTAATTTTCGATAACATGGAAGGCGATATTAACATGGGAAGCAATATTAATGGATTTTCTTTTGGATTCTAACGTTGTCAATTTCTTTTTTTATGGATTAAATCTTTTTATGGCCTTAAAATGAAAAATTATGATCGTTCTTGTTTGTAAGAATATGTTTCAGCATAATGAGCTTTTATTAACTCTGAAAATTTATTAAGCGTGTTTTCGCTTCATTCTTCAAGAATTGAATTATTGTTTAAAAAAAACGTTTTTTTGGTTAGGTTCATAAATGATGCCTAAAATTTGGTAAGCTTAGGTTTGTATGTTATCGAGGGTCCAGAGCTAATCAACTGACTTTTGTTCCTAATTCATCATATTTGATGATTTAAGATCACATTTTTAATTATTTGAATGGATAACAAATCCTTTGATAGACGTTATTTCTGAACGACTCTTAAGACAGCTATTATTAAACTCAATATATTTTCATCCCAAAGATTCACAGGATCTTTAAAAGACAGCTCAATATTATTCCTTCAAGTATGTCAAAATGAGGATGAATAAGAGACGGAAAAATATTTCTCCCAAAAGATGAAAGAACATTCAGAACACACTGCCATCAACATTTCAACAAAGATTATGCGATGAATGATTTATGTGATAGGCGATTATCATCTAAAATGATGGTAGTGATGATAATGGTTATAAAATATAAAGCGGATGGGATGAGAAGAACGATAAAGAGGAAAAAAAAGTTCCACCAAAAGGATTAAAGGGGAGATTGAAAAGATTTATATTTGATTCAATGTGTTTTCTAAAGATTAAATCATCACCATAATTTATCAATAAATTTAATGTGAAAATTTTCAACACGTCCTAAGCTTCTCCCATGCTTTTTATAAAATTTCATCTGTCATGGTTGATGGGATTCTCTTATTAAAATAATGAAAATTATATAATTGTTTGCTATTAAAACCTCATTTATCATTCAACACAATGATTTTTGAAAATAATTGTCGCTTATAATCCCATCCTCATAGCGCATATCATCAGTCAGTAAAAAAAATCATTTAAATTAAAATTTTATTTGACTCTGTCGCGTCTATATTTGCACATTATGGATGATAAAAAAAATTACCCAGAGACAACAGAACTTAACCATATATTGTTGTATGCTTTTTGTTTTATAAAATATGCAGCATCATGAAAGTTTTAAAAGTTCTATTTTTCTCTTATGAATTTAATTAAAAAGTTTGAAGACATTGAGAAGCTTTTTTTTTGATGACATAGAGAACTTTTAACTTTAAATGATATAATAAAAATTCTCTTTGTTCTCAGCTAGAAAATTCAATTTCTTTTTTCCTTTTTTCAGCATAC